CTTTTTTCCCTTTCCTCCACCTCAAGACTCATCCACTCCTTTTTTGTACATAGTCATATCCAGTAGATGCCTCTGAATGGATGTAAAGATTAAACAGCTGCAGACTAACACAACTTTTATTATAAGCCATAGTACTATGTATCTTAAATAAGGCAACAGTACATTAAGCATAGAAAAGGAACAACCTCACGTGCATTTCCACCCAAAGCAGGAAGGAGTGTTCACTAAGTTTGAACAATCGCCCCTTTAATTTTCTTTAATTCTGTTTTTATTATTATTGAAAATAAATATTAGTCGTTATTATTAATGTTTTTGTTGATTGGCTCATGCTAGCAGTTTGGTGTTGAACACGTCTGCCCTTGGAAGGAATATCTCAGTTCTCCCATGGAAACAGCTTTTCTGTTTTAATTCCATCAGTGGCATAAATACGAGACCATTTGCATGATAAATAATGTATGACTTACAGAGCTGACCACTCAGAAGTGTGGAAGAAGTAAGTCATCTGCCCTCACATACTGCTAGAGGTTACATGCCTCAGAATCTAAGCAAGAGTCATGTTACTTTGGGATTGAGCCATATTCTTAGCTTGAAAGAGCAGATTTGGTCATAGCTGTCATACAAGGAGCTGAAACCACAGGAAGGAGCATGGTTCTCTTGTAGAGGACCTTCCTAACCCCTTTGAAGCCAGTGACCAAGTGCATAGACCACTCTGAATAACTTTCCAGTGCCATATTTAGCTGTCTCTTTCCCAGCAGTGCTTGCAGGATGGACATTGGGTTTCCAGTATATTGTTGCAGCTGTGTCCTGCCCATCCCTTCCTGTGGTGTATGCAAGAGGGTGGTGGGCTGAATCTTAGCCATGGACCTGGAAATCCAGAAGTCTCAAGTATGCCTGCTATCATGTTTAATTATTGCACTGCCTTGGAAAGGTCACTTATTTTTCTGCCCCACCCAGCTTCTCCATCTGTAAAATGTACATTTCAGTCTCTACCTACTAGAAAGGCATAAGGTGAGGATGCTTCTCCAGTGCTGTGCAGGAGCTAACGATGCTAGTAGGGTGAGAGGGAATCTCTCTCTCACCATTATCTTTGTGGCCTTTCCCAGACACAGATACAGAGGGCTTCTTAATAGAGCACGGTAGGCTTTGAGCAACTGCATAAAATAAGCCAGATTCTGCTGGAGATATTCACTTGCTTGTACATAGATAGTTGGACTTATTTTGAACACAGACCCTCATGATCAGGTGTCTGGCTTGTTATCTGAAGAGGTGATCCTGGAGTTTTTGTATTTGGCTAGATCTCTGTGTTTGCTGCTGTGAAAGCATCATACCATTTCAGTCTCACAATCTTTAAAAAGAATCAGGGTTTGTCTGGCAGAACTGGCATTGCTTGTCCCTATCATGGGAGCAACAAAAACTTCCTAAATAGACGGGAGAGATTTGGAAGCAAATATATGCTTTCTATTGACAATAAAAAGGAAAGCAATCTCAGACACTTCATCATGCACCTAAACTAAAGATTTTACTTCAATGCAAGTTCTTTGGTGCACTTCTTCAGTGAAACCAAGTGTAGGCAAACATTTCAGTCTTTGCTGCTTTGCAAGTAACTTCAACCACAAGTTTTTACTAAATCCAAGTTGGAGGCTGAGGAAGCTTGCCTGATCTACAAGTCAGAACTAGCTGATAAAGATGAACTTATTTCAGGCTGGATCTACAAAAAAAAGGACATGCTTATTTAAGTACAAGCTGCCAAGGGCTTCCCAGAGGAAAAAGAAGGCAGAGTTTACTATTTCAGATAATTTTGCCCTAACTTATATTTAAAACAGGATGAGTGTCTCTCCCCTAAGGCTAGTGACCCAGAGCACTCTTTGTCTCTGAATCCATGCTTGGGTATAGGATAGCAGTGTTGAGAAATTTATCATATTCTAGGGAATGTATCCTATTCACCCCATGCAAATTCAGCAACTTGAGCCTATTTAGGTAAACCTCAACCTCTAAGAATGGAAAACTCTCCTTCTGTCACAAAGGCAGCAGCTGTTTCTGCTCTTTTAGCACAGAAGGAACTAAATCCAGGACCCCTGAATGCAAGAAGGCAGAGACTGGCTCTTTCCTTCAGGTAGTCGTTGGCAGTGAAATCTAGTCCAGACGACACTGGCACACCGACACCAAAAGTTTTGAAATTATCTGGCTAATGTCCATGGCCTGTGTCTTCTAATATAGAAGTAGAAATGGTAGAAATGTGCCCCTGCTGAAAGCAATCTATCTTTCATATGTTCTTTCATTCATATTTTCATTAATTTTCCTGCAGCCTTGTGCTGGAGAACTCTGCGAACAAACAAACAAGTAAAAGGATGAGCTCATTCTACTTTGCCTTTCACTTTCACTACCACTTGCTTTGCTGACCTTTCCCTAGCCCCCATCACAGACTCTCTTCCTCATCCAGCCAAATACTGTTCCTGACATAGCATCAGAATTTTCTGCCCAGCACCCTCCTTGCAGAATGGTACTGCTAATTGTTTGTTTTCACAGTCTCCCTGGCAGCTTGATGTGCATGTATGTGCATGTATGTGTGGAAGATGAGGAAAAAGGAGAAAAAAAGGAAAGAGAGAGAAGGGAAGGTGCTTGTTATTGTTTTTTCTGTCTCAGCAGCTGTGCCATTGAATGACTGGTCTAAGTCAGGATCTTGTGTGTTTAAATAGCATAAGCAGGTAGTGGTATTCCTGGGCTCAGAGCATTAAAAATACTCCTTTTGTGAACTGAGTTCCTGAGCCGTGTGAACATCTAGATCCCATGAGTTTGTTAGTATTCATGCCAGAATAACAGAGCAGGAGGAAAAGGGAAGGTGTTTTAAAAAATTGGTTATTAAATAATGTTTACCAAGTCTGTTTCATTGTGGAAGCTTTCCCAGTGCAGCCATGTCATCACTTCTGTACTTCAGCTCTCCACACCCACCGCAGCCCTTTCTCCATGGACAGCACAGAGACCAGCCACGTGTGCACTGATAGTCCCCATTTTAATTTTCTTTTTCTTTCAACAAACATGCATGACAGGACAACTACCGTAGGTACCGGGCAGCTTTTGCTTGCTTTTGCCTCACATAACTTCTGGCACCTTGCATGAGTTCTGTACTTCTGCTCAGCTCATTCCACTATCCCTGAAGTGCCTAAGCCATGATGAACGGACTTGAGAGCAGGCACTCTCCTCTTCTTTCTGCCCATCCATTTCCCTTCCCACCCTGAACTAGCAACACGGGACACAGATACCTTTGGCTCATGTATGGGTGTAAGAAGCATTGTCTCAAGACACTTTTCCCTCAGCACTCAAGCAGGTGTTGAAGCACTGAAACAAGACCAAAGAGAAGCATGGTTCATTGTTTGGATTCTGAGTAGCTTTTTGTCTTTCCATGCCATTGTTTTATTTGCCTCACTGGTCTGTTTAATCTCAGGTAAATGAGGTCTTTTGTTTTTATAACTAGTTTTTATTTGCACAGAAAGGTTGGTGGCTAGACACTGCAGCCATTTTTCTTCACAGCTCCAAGACTTTACTGGCTAGTAAAAAAATTCAAAGGGCCTCCACATTTGGAGGGTAAACTATTTAGATTGCCATTGACCTTGTGTACTCACGTTTATATTTAGAGAAAGCCATATGAAATCAGACTGCAATATTAATTATGAATGCTACTCTTGTGTTTAAAAGAAAAAAAAAAAAACAAACCATAAGCTCATGTGCTAAATCACTTTCGAGTTCCTCTGTCTATGTTTCTAGTACCACATGTTGGCTTAGTTCCCTCCTTGCCCCTCTCCTTTGTCAAGAAAGACCATACTAGTGCTGCTGAATACATGTTTTTTGGCAAGCTTACTGTGTTAGAATAAGCATTGTTAGAAATTGGCTTTTGTGACCTCAATGTAATGTCTTATGTATCTGAAAGTTGTATCTGTTCTCAATATATGTTATCAAGGTAACTGTTTCTTCATGCACTGAGTTAGTAAAATGTTTCGGTACTGTCATTAAAAAGTGATCGTTTTCTTTCTCTGTCCCCCCCACACATCCCAAAAATTCAGCTTAGCCATGCATTTTCTAGATGAAATACTCCCCAGCTTGCTTTCCGATGCATGCAGTACTCTCCAAGCAACTAGAAGGTGATTTAAAGTAGAAACTTTATTAATGTAAATTTCATTTGTTATTTGCCTGCTTTTTCCTGCATGATGTGGGTAGAGAGTATGATGTTCTTTTAAAATGAAGTCACAGACAATAAAAAACCTAGTGATTTCATACATTTTTTTGCAATGCTGTCCTGTGAAATTCATAGTAGACTATATTAGGAATCAAAGTATGGATGCTGGTATACAAGTAGAATCAAGGAGAAACGTAGGTATTATATTGATGGATATGTTAATATTTTTCATTTGTCAAAAAAAAATGATGAGGTTTGACATCTACAGGTGATTATATAATTTTAAATTAGTTTTGCTATTAAGAATTAGTTTTCCTTAGGAAGAGCAGAACAGCATTCCTTTGAAAGGACCACAGGTATCTAACTATGATTTAATGAGAATCTGTTTGGTTCTTAAAGAAGGTAAAATGCTGATTTTCAGTGACATCACGTACATCTCTGGATTCAGAATTTGTGAGATACATACAAAACTCTTTGGGTGGCAAGCTGCACCCAGCTAAGCCTTGTTTTACTTGCTCAGGGACAAATCAGTAGTTATGTTCAGCATAAAAACATCACGTCATGTTAGAAAGGGAAATAACTTTACATCTCATAGGGAATGCTGACGGCCGTTCCTTTAGGAAAGCTCTGCTCTTTGTTAGGACCATTACATGGTGATCTATTTGGTGTTTGGGGGTTTTTTTGTG